CCACCCAGTGGAGGTTTCTGGCCGGCAACCCTGGGGCAGGCTGCCCGGATACCGTATAAATGGGGCCCACCGGCCTGGGAGGCTGGGGCATCAGAGACTGAGTTTTGCTGGCCTCCTTTGCAGAAGCACGTCCTGGCCTGTCCCCTGCCTGCCTGCCGGTGGAGGGACCCCTCTGATCCCTGTGCAGGTGGAGTGGGTATGGGGGCGGGTAAGAGACCTGCCCACCAGAGCCCGGGCCCTTTTGTGACCAACCTTTCCGTTGTTCTGGCTTCCTACCCTACATGCGAGAGGAGAAAGGGGGTGGGACCGAGGGCTTGGAAAGTTCAGGGTCCCATTGGAGAAGGGAGCTTGAGGTGGCGGTAAGATGCTGAGATTCACCCACCTAACGGGGACCCTCCTCAGTCCAGCTACACGTGTTCCTTTGAGCGTCTCCTTCGTGGCCAGGCTCTGAGTCACAGGCAAACAGAGCCCCTGCCTGGGCGGAGGCTTGTAACTGGTGCCAGAGGAGACAGGAGATAAATGATCATTTCGTGTCGGCCGTGGTAAGTGCTGGAGGAAGTCTGTGCTCTGGGCACCTGCTCGGGTGGCCGCAGGGGGTGCTGGAAATGTCAGTGACGGGCTCCAGAAGAAGCGAAAGTAAGCTAAGACTGGACAGATGAGCGAGGGGTTAGCTGGGCCCAGGGTGGTGGTGGGGAATAGCCTTCCAGGTGGAGGGAAGAGCACATGTGGATGCCTAGAGGAGGTGAAGGAAAGCGGTGGTTTCAATGAACCCGCAGAGGCCGAGTGGGGCTGTGATTTCCTGAATCAGCAGGTGCAGGGAGGGCGGAAGGGGGGCGGGGGCTGGAGGAGTCTGCACCGGCCTACTGTGCGGAGCTTGGGTTTATTCCAGCGGTACCGGGAAGTCACTGAGAGGTTTCATTCTGGATCCCGTCTGCCGAGGAGGTGGGACCCAGGCTATTCACGGGGCCGGGAGACGGTCAGAAGACCTGCCCAGCCCGGGCTCGTGGGTCTACCCAGCACTGCTTTGTAGCTCACCACCCCCCGGGGCTCTCACCTCACAGTAATGGCAGAGTGACCCAGGCGAGAGGAGGAGACCAGGCTGGGGAGGGACTTTTTAAAAGGGAAGGAGAAAAACTTTCTAGAATCATAGGCAAAAGACATTAAAAAAAAAAAACAAAAAACCTTTTATTATGCACATTGGCAAACATTTAGAGAAGTAGAAGGCATGTTATAATAAAGTCCTAGGGACTAATCATTTAACTGCAACGATTATTCGGCCAATCTTGTTTCATTTATATCCCCATTCCTTCCCTCCCCTGGGATTATTTTAAAGCAAAGTCTACTATATTGTTTTATTTTATTTTTTAAAAGATTTTATTTGTTTGATGGAGAGAGCGAGAGAGCACAAGCAGGGGGAGTAGCAGAGGGAGAGAGAGAAGCATGCTCCCTGCTGAGCAGAGAGCTCAACATAGGACTCGATCCCAGGACCTGAGATCAGGACCTGAGCCAAAGGCAGACGCTTAACCAACTGAGTCACCCAGGAACCCCTGACATTTGTTTTAACTGGGAACATTTCAGAGCATATCTCTGTAGGGGAAGACATGAATGGGATATCGTTAGCCCACATAAGAAAACATTAATTGGCTATTTTCATCTAATATCTATAATTCATATTCAGACTCCCCATTTGTCCTCAACATGTCTTTTATAGCTGCTTTTCTCTCCAGTCCAGGGTCCATTCCAGTTTCGCACGTGGATACATTGTTGGCTGGATCTCTTTAGTTTCCATTTTGGGGGCTTTATTGAGATGTAATTCACACAGCCTACAGTTCCGCCATTTATTTTGCACAGTGTGGTGGTCACAGAACTACACAATCATCATCATAATCAGTGTTAGAGCGTTTTCATCACCCCAGAAAGAATCCCCAAAAGCCTTTGGCACCCACTAATCTACTTTCTGTCTCCGTGGATTTGCCTCTTCTGGACAGTTCATATACGCGGAATCGCACCCCATGTGGTCTTTTGGGTCTGGCTTCTTGCACTTGGAACAATGTTTCAAGGTCCGTGAATGTTGCAGGTGTATTAGGCACCATGTTCCTTTTTTTTGGCCAAATAGTATTCCATCGTGGGGATTTACGATTTCATCTCATTTCTGGCTTTTAGCTTCTTTTAATCTAGACTGTATTCGCCACACATTTGGTCTTTTGTCTTAACCCATGGTGACTCTATTTGGGAAGAGACCAGCTCAGTTTAGAATGACCCACATGCTTAGTCTAATTGTTTTCTTATGCTTAGACTCGGGGCTTACATCTCTGGCAAGAATATCTACCACCTGGGGCCTCCCAGGTTAACACCCTACCAGATGCTAACCGGGAGTTTGAGCTCCCGGTGAATGTGATGATCCCTTTGCAAGGGTACGTTTTCCCTTTTTAATAAGCCAGTAATTGGGGGGATGATAGTGTGAGACCATGGGCATCTCCTGTTCCTTCACAGGCTTGTCGCTCAATGCTTTGAGCATCCTTGGTGACCGTGGCCTGAATCCATTTTGATGTTAGGGTTTGCAGATGGTGATTTTGTGATGCTTTATCCATTTTTAATGGGCATCCTTCCATAAAGAAATGCTTCCCCTCTCTCTCTCACTGCCTTTTGAAGTTACTCATTTGTAATCATTATTCATAATCATGCTCAAATTGTCCCAAATTTGGCTTGTTGGAACTTCTTTCTGCAGGCGCCTGGGTCTTTTTGTGAGATCACATCGTTCTTTGCACGGTCTCTAACCTCCCAGAATACTAAGATGTGCCAGATCGACCCGGCATCTGGAACGAGCTATTTCTCCAAGGAGCCCGGTTCCTCTTAGTACGGAATAATATTTAGAAACCAACTTCTAGCTAGTAGGTAGTCTCCCTGTGATGGAGGAGTCATTCCTTTGGGGCCCTTTCATGAAGTGCTACTGGGATGTGTGTGTGTGATGTATGGACATATACACGTATGTATATACAGTACATATATATGACATATATTTATGTGGATGATGTTGGAACAATAGCCACGGGCCATTGGCAGCAAGCACAGAGCCCAAGGTGCCTGGAGGAGCCTGGGGTCACCCCCTGCCCAGCCCTGGCTGAGACTGCATCACCAGGAGGGCAGAGAATGGGAAGGCACCAACACCCACATGTTGAATGTCCCCTTACAATGCCATTACTCACCCTCCCCTCCTGGCCTGAGTTACGGGGAGGACGACAACCTCTGTGTCCGGCTTCATTCTGTAGAGCCTCGGACACAGTGGTCCCCAAATCCAGGTTTGTGGATGATGGAGATCTTTCTCCACCCCTGCAGAGACACTTGGAAAACAGCCAGCCTCAAAGTGGGGAGCTGGAAGAATATAGAGAAAAGAGATATTCAGCCCGGGGCTCTAATTTCCTCCACTGACCACACCAGAGGCTCTTCTCCCACAAATCCCTCCCTGGCATGGATGAGCCTGCAAGAGAGCCCTGCACCTGACACAGGATAGTGGCACTTGAGCCCCTACCACGCGGACTCCGTTATCCTCCCAGGTGGCCCAGTTTGGGCAAATGCCCTGGGGTACCACTGATAGCTTGGGAGGGTCCAGGGTAGGCGAGCTGGATGCGTTGATGCTTTGGAAGTGTCTGTCAAAGCTGTGGTTGGTCACGAGCTTGAAGTCGCCCCAGAGCCTGCTGGGGTTGCTATACCAGCTACCAGAAGTAGGGGAGCCTTGATGAATGACACAACGTAGATCAGTGTGTCCCCAAGGGAGGCCCCCAGACTCTGCTTCAGAGGCGCTGCCCCCTCCCTGCCCCCCCCCAGAGAGCTGCTGGGTCAGCTCTGGGAGGTGCAGCTGGGACCCGATTTGGGGTCCTGTTTTGTGTGGTGAGCAGAGGGGCTCCTGAGGCAGGGCTGACCCCCACGCCCAGATGCTCATCCTGCCGGTGGTCCGGGGCTGTGCCAACCCCCAATCTGGTTCCCTGAGGCTGGCTGGAGAAGCCTCTCTGACAGCCACGTCCTGAGGTTCCACCAGAGAAAGAAGGCTGTGGGTCCCAGGACAGGCCTATAATGGCCCCTGACCGTGCCTTGGGGTGAGCCTGCTTCCCTGCTCATTGAGTGGCTCAGGATGGGAGTGGCCATCACATGCCCTGCTCAGAGACCCTCTTGAATCACTAATGTAACTGCTAATAATGGGGCAACAAAGACCCAGAATTGACCCTCCTCCCCTTTAGGGTCACAGGCTCCTGTGACCAATGTGGTGTTTCTAGCTGGTAAGCCTTAACATTCTGTACCAGAACCATCCTGGGCCTGGGGCAAGCTGCTTAGGACCCGTGGGTTTGGAGGTATTTGGGACAGTGGTTTATTTGCTGGCAGCGGGAAGACATAAAAAGGCAATCCAAAGGCTGAATGAATGAAAGCGGAGAGGCAGCTGTGCTGAGAAATCCCTCCTGCCTCTCGGGGTTGGAGAGCAGCGCGTCTCGGAGGTGGCCAGGCGCCCCCCGTGCACGGTGCATGGATTGAAGGTTGGATACGCCGGACCCCAGGGGATTCAGATCAGAAGTCCTGTTCTGAGTCCTCGGTGCCAGGAGGTGGTGGCCTGCTTTAACTCTCCGCTCCCCCGGGGCAGCTTCTGTAGGTTGAGGATGCAGGCGGCACGCAGAACGGTTTACCAGCAGAGGGCAGCTGAGGGGTTAACTCCCCAAATCAAGGACTGGGGGAAGAGGAGGGAGACCTGGTTTGGAGCAGTTCCCTCAGAGCGTGTGCTGGAGCCTTCCTCCCATTCGCCTGCAAGCCCGGCCACCACCCTAGGAGCAGCGTGGGGTCAGGGGCACTCCCGCCTGCCCTCTCCCAGAATATGGTGACGTGAGGGTTAATGGGAGCACGCGCTCGCGTCCCCGAACTACCCCAGCACGGGGGCTTTCGGGGAGCCCGAATAGAACACTGAAATGTCCAGTATGGAGAACAGCTTCGATGATGTCTCTTGCCTCTCTCCCCAGAACCTGGGATCCTCATCACCAAGCAAAAAGCACAGCAAGGAAAACACCATCACGGTAAGCGACTTACGCTGGGTGCCCACAGGTTGGGGCGAGCTGGGGCTCTTCTGCCATGCTGGGCGGTTGCCATGGCAATGTGGACCACCGAGTGCAAGCCCAGCCTGGCATCTGGGAAGTTCCAAAGCTTGGATGTTGTGGAAATTCCCCCTGCCTCCCACCCCCACCCCGGCTCCTACCCGCACCCGCTCCCGTGCCTTCTGTTAACTTCACCTTTCACTTTTTTCCCTCCGGGTGACCGAGTGCAGGCGGGGTGGGAATGATGCAGAAGCCATCGTCACAGGGCGGGTGGTGGGGGTGGGGGGTACACATGCCCAGGCGGGCTGGAGGGGGTGGACCGTGCTCGGCACCAGCGATGTGACATGTAAATTACAGCCACAGCGGGTTGCTTTCATGCGGGGTGACTTGTGGAAGGTGTCAGAGTTAAAAACAAGAGAAAGCACCCTAAGAATAGAGTTCCGGACGGGAGCAGGCAGCTCTTGCCAGCCCGCCTCTTGGGCTCTTCCAGAAGCCCACTAAGCCCCCATGGGCAAGCTGAGGAGGGTCCCCCCCAACACACACACACACACACACACACACACACACACCACCCAGCCCCGTGTTGGGGAAAGGGGGCAAATGCCTTGCTCCGACTGCAAGAACTAGAGACGTGAGAAGTGTGGTCCTGGATGTGCTGCTTGGTTGTGAGTGCAGGGGAGCCGGGAATGGGGGACCTGCTCCCCCAGGCTCCAGTAGGGGCAATTCTGAGCCATTCTGACTACCCCCACGGACATGAGACCGAGAGTGGGTATGCTTCCCTGGCTTGTGCAGGCTGAAAATCCTGCTCTGGAAGAAGAGAGACGGTTGGGTATGCGGTGACATCAGCAGCAATAATTGTTTCCCCTTTGGTGTGCACTGAGTGTTCCGAGTGGCTCATTGAGCTCTCCACTCGCTGTGTGAGGTGAAGGTGACAGGACCAGCTTCACGTGGTGGCTGTGAACAAGGGCTCTGGAGCCAGAGGGACTGTTAAAGCACCTACTAGCTGCACAGAAGCCCGGGGCGAGTTTCTCTGCCCCGTTGTGCCTCAGTGTCCACATCTGTACAATGGGGAGATGGTGGGTGTCTGTGCCCTGGGGGGGGTGGTGAGGACTAAATGAGTCTGTATGCAGAAAGCACTTAGAACAGAGCCTGGCGCGTAGTTACTGTGCTCAGTGTGCACTCATCTTCTCGACCCTGTTTACAGATGGCAAAACTGAGGCAGGCGGCCATGCCTCGCCTGGCTGGGGTGCATCAGGATTCAAGACCTGTGCTCTCCCCGCCTGTGGAGGTTGCCTGTGGAGGAGCGTGGGGCCTGGGGCAGGGCGTGAGCCGGCCCCAGGGGCAGACCTCCCGGGGGCATCATCCTTATCTCCAGAGTGCCGCAAAATGCCCCAGAGGCAAAGCGGAAGCCCCCTAAAGTTCCCAGAAACGGGGGAGAAAGAGGGAGAAGAAGGGGAGGGCGGTATATTAGAATTGTAGAAGAAAAGTGAAAAGGACAAATGCAAAGTGGAAAGCACTTGGCTGATGGGGATGGTCCTGGGGGCTCCAGGGCGGGGCCCGAGTCACCTGCTGTGCCCTGGCTTTGGGCCAGAGCTTGGCACTTGGTCAGAGTCTCCTCTCCGGTTCATTGTCCCTGCCTCTCGTCTTCCCTCTGCCTTCCCACTGACCTAAATCAGAGCTTCTCAGAGCGAGCCTGCAAAGTGGAGTCGGCAGCCTTAGCCTCTGGGACACGTGTTTAAAATGCAAGTTCCTCGATGGGTTCCTTCCTAGACCGACACTTAGTTGATCTGGGGCCCACTGGGACATTTGCATTGTCACCAACACCCCCAGGGGTTTTAAATAAACACTTAAGCCTCTGGGAATTTTTGCTGGAGAAACCGAGGACAGGAGGGACTGGCCAGAGGGCACGGAGCAGGCAAGGAGCAGAGCCCCGGCCTTGGGCTGGGTCTGCCGGCTGCCCGCCCAGGGGGCCCCGGACACCCCGCACGTGTCCGGGCCGAGATGGGTGCAGGCCGGCATGCAAGCTGCTGTTCTTTCCTGTCCACGGAGCACTCGATCCCTGCCCCCCAGCCCTGTTCCCAGCCCTCCCTCTGGGCTCTGATCCTCCAGAGCTCATAGTTTCCCAGGGAGGAGACCCCGCAGGGCCACTGGACGGGGTTGGGGGGGGGTGGAGGGGTGCCCAGCTCCCGGGGCACAGGCTAGTGGGGACGGGGTGAGCAATCTCCCACGTTGTCGGATCCCACTGAGCAGACGTTTGCAGGCATTCGCTCAGATGCTTGCTGGGCAACAAAGGGCGATGGCATCCAGGTGGGGCTGAGGAGCCAGGATTGAACTTGATTCTGACATTCCAGCTTTCCCTCCCTGCGCTGGCCTGGAGCAAGCTTCGGGCAGGGCCAGCCGTGGGGTGGGTTGAAATCTAGAGGATTCCAGAGGAGATGATGACAAAGCCACACTCCTCTCCTGGAAAGAGGAATCTGGGGGACTCTAGCCTCCGCTTCCCGATGTGGCGCATCGGATGCCCTGGATCCCTGGGGGGGTAGGGAGCTGGTGGGCTGGAGGTGAGCCCTTGGGGTCTTTTCTGCTTCCACAGACCCTGTTGCTCTGACTTCTCCTCCTCCACAGCCTCCCACATCAGCAAATTCAGAGCCAGCTGCCAGATAGGTGGGTGAAGGACCCAGCTCGGCGCTGGGCCAGGACTGGGGGCCACGGGGGATGCGCTCAGGACTCCCCACGTCAGGCCCCTTGGGTGGGTCGCAGGTGTGTTCAGCAGCTGTGATGTTATGGCCAGGGCCTTAAGTGGTGGTTGCAGCCCCCTTAGAACGCCCCAGAGAGTTTTGGCGGGGGGCTGCCCTGGCAGAGCCTCAGGGAAGAGAGGGGCTTACTCTGTGTATCTGAGGGTTGGAGAAAACAGTCGGTGTCAGCGTGAAGATGTTACTGGTCGCGGACGGTGATCTCAGGAGGAGCGAGGGTGGGGGTGGCTCCCGGAACTTCTCCCAAACAGTCACTGAGAGGCATACCCCCTCTCCTGCTCCCTGTTGAGCACCCCTTCCTACCCGAGCCCCTGCCTTGGGTGGGGTGTGGAAGGTAGCGTGACGAGAGTTAACAACAGCCGGATTGCCTGACTTCAGACACGGACTCTCCCATGACACAAGCTGTGTGATCTTGCAGAACTTGCTTAACCTCTCTGTGCCTTACTTTGCTCCTCTGTAGAACGGGGATAATAATGGCAGCCACCTGGTGGGTAAAGCACCTGGGGCAATGGCTGGTATGTTATTAGCTCTTCTCGGTATGTTATTAGCTCTTCCTTAGCATGTCCCCTGTGTTTTCGGGGAGGAGGATGCCTTCAAGGCTCGTGCTTTGCCCAGGAGGCTTTGGGAGGAGGGCAGGCTTTGTCCTGGAGATGGTGTTAACCTGGAAAATGTCCCCCAGGGGGGCACGGGAATCCACACCTGGAGGTTTCCATGGGGAAAGCTTCCCCACTTGCTCATCTTTTCGGTTGGCTACTCTTCATGGTGGGGGGCAGTCCTGCACATGGTGGGATGCTTACCTCTACCCGCCAGGGACTATTAGCAGTGCCTCCCCCATTTTGTAACAACCACACATGTTTCCACATTTTGTAACAACCACAAATGTCTCCATTGGCCTTACCAAATGCCCCCGGGTGGGGGTGGGGTGGTAAGAGAGCAAAATCGCCCCTGGGTCGACAGTCACTGAGTTCACTTCTCGGTGCTGGGGGGTCTCCCTGCACAGTCTCTCATGTTCCTCTGCTTATCCTCTCTGCTGCGCGGCTCGGAGCCCCCATCACGACTCCCAGTCCCTGGGGAGCCTCCCTGGTGGCCGAGGTCCGTGTTTTTCCTCCAGAGAGCTCACCCCACCAGCAGCCCAGTCAGGTCACTGTCCTGCTAGACATTTCTGGGCCTCCCACGCCTGCAAGGCCCCCCTCCGGCGTCAGTTTAACTGCGTTCCCCTGCTGTGGGTGCATCCTCAGACCCCGGGCCCTTTTCCTCCCTGCAACCCTCTGTACCTCCCACCCCCTGTCTGCCTAACCCTCACTCTCTTATTACCCTAAAACTCGCTCAGGTTCCTTTCCCCAAGCCCCAGGCCTTCCAGCAGTCCCAGCGCCCATGCTTACCCCAGTGGTAGATTTATCCCAAAGTCGTGCAATCACTTCTGTACTTGTTTGCCTTCCTCGAGGGGCTACAAAACTGTCGAGGACAGAGACCATTCCGTGCTCCTCTGGCCTTTGGTCATTGCACCAGGAAACTCTTTTGGAGCACTCCTCGGGGGGCTGTGCTTGCCAGGGAATAGGGAAACAGCAGGGAAAGGGTCTCCTTCCCCTCCTGGAGCAGACGGTCTGGCCAATTAAATGGTCATGAGAAGTGTAATTACAAACGTATGTGTGCAAAGTGCTGGAAAGATCTAGCATCGCGAGGGGCACGCGAGAAACGTTTGCCTGCGTTCGGTGGACGAGCAAGCGTTCCTCTGAATAGCAGTGCGGTTGAGGTTTGAGCTCTGCTGTCAGCCCAGCCCGGATTCAGAGTCTAAGCTTCTGTGATCTTTCGTTTCCTCCTGTAAAATGAGGCCCATGGTACCCAGCTCGTGGGGCTGCTGGGATGATGACGTGGGAATGTGTGCAAGGCTTCTGGTGGGGAGCCCGAGGGAAGGGCTCCTCAGGGATTCCCAGTGGTTACAACTGCCTCCCCACCAGGGGGCTGGCGGGCGTGTAGTTCTCGGGCTGCCCACAGGGGGTGCAGAGCTCGGAGGAGCACTGGGGGAATCCCTGTGGGCCCGCTAGGAGCAGACATCCCCAAATCAGAGTTGGTAGAGGCAGAGGGCAGGCACCCTGGGGCCCCTGGCCAGTCCATCCAAGGACCCGTGTCCCCTACAAAGTGGTAGATGCAATGACAGGGATGAGTCCTTATCCTCCCCATCCCCCTCACCTCTACCCCCTGGTCTTTCCTACCCCTCCCTACTTCCCTCTGGAGTGGGCATCTCGGCCCTTCCTTCCACCAGGTGTGTGTATCCCAGAGGAGGGGGCTCCTGTCCTTGGCTGGGACTTCTCCCATGCTGTCCTTCCGGGACTGCAAGCGAGACCCAGACCCCTGGCAGCCGGGGCGGGATGCTACATACACTCAGCCGCCCGTGAGCCCCTGGACCCCGAGGTCAAGGCTGGGGGCCCCTGGGCCTGACTCAACTTTGCCTTACACGGTGCTGTCGTTGACGTCCTCACTATTATTCCCATTAACTTTGAATTACGTGCCAACATTTAAACATCACACACTCATCCCGATTTTCAGCCTCTCTTGGGTCGTGTCACCTGATGGACGACCCACTGGACTCCTGCTGGCTTGCCAACAGCTAGCAGGAGCCAAGAGGAATCTGCTCGTTGCACAGATCTCCGCAGACCCCACCCCTTGCCAAAGCGGAGGCCGGTCGCCCCCACCCCAAACCACAGTTTCCGTGCAGGCGGGATCTCACCTCTTTGCACAGCTGCCTCACATTAGAGTTTGAGGCCTCTGTCCAGAACCCCAGGGTTTTCTGCACATTTCCTGCCTCGAACATCAGGCGGCTCCACGGTGAGGCTTACAAAGAACTCCAGTGAACAGGCTCCCCAGGAGCGGATCCTGGGCTTGAAGCGCCACCAGCAAGAGCCAGTGGTAAAACCACTTCCACCTGGCGGGGAAAGCTGGGACACCGCGGACATGCTTGGGCAGGAAAGTCTGAGACAGGCCCCAGGAATGTCTGCACTGCCCTCTCCTGGGCGAGGGCCAGCCCCAAGCACACACCCTGCGTGATCGCTTTCAACTCTCTTTGTAGAATACATTCGGTGATTAAAACGCACACGGTAACCTCTCAGCCGAGTAGTTCCTTTCTCTGGAAGGAGGTGAGGTTATCAGCTTCCAGAAGTATTCTATAGATAAATAACCAAATGTGTACATATTTTCTCCTCTTCTCTTCCTCTCTTTCTACACAAATGGAAGCATACTATAAATACTATTCTACATCTTGTTTTTTTTCTTCCCCACTTAATAATAGGACCTGGTGCACCTTCCATATTAACACATAAGAACTTTCTCCCGGTGTCTTCTGCTGCCCATGCAAATGCCAGAGATGCCCCCCCACCCCCCGCCCCCGGCCTGTGCTCTGTTTAACCACTCCCCTGCTCATGGACAGTGGGGTTGTGTTTTTGCTGCTACAGATGGGTCTGAAAGACTGTGCGTGCATCATTGCACGCACACGCAGATACATCCGTAGGGCGTGCTTTTTGAATTGCAGTCCCTGGTTTGGGGGCTCAGGTCACGTGCGGTTTTGATGGATCCTGTTACACTGCCCTTCAGAGCGTTGGGACCGGTTCCAGCCCCTCGGGGGTAGGCGTGAGTACTGTTGCCCCTCATTTGAAATGCGGGCCCCTGGAGCATCCCAGGACTTCAGTGCGCATCCTGTCAAGCTGGCGCTAACGGGAGACCTCGGTGATGCTGTGTTCCAGGGGCAGAGCCCTCCCAGCTGCTCCCAGCCCCCCAGACAAGGTGTTTCCTTTCTTGTTCTGTGCCCTGCAGATAAACTGCGTGACGTTCCCACACCCAGACACGATGCCAGAGCAGCAGCTATTGAAACCGACCGAGTGGAGCTATTGTGACTATTTCTGGGTAAGTTTGCCTCAGTTTCCCCCACCGTGTGACCATCCCCCACCAGGCCCTCCCCCCTGAGGATCAGGAGTGGACACCCAGAAGGGGCATGAAGGGTCTGGAGCTCAAAAAAGAGGGTCCTCTCCAGTTGAAACCTGGTGGTAGATTTAGGGTCCAAGGCAGGAATTTAAGACCCTCTTTGGAATCCAGATCATTCCCTAAATCTCAGAGAATCAACAGGATTTTCATTCAGGGCAACACGGAAACCCCGGACAGGATGCAGATAAGCACAAGGATCACTTCTTGGCTGCTCGGTAAGGGCAAGAGCCTAAAGCCAACTTCAGTGGAGGTGCCTGGGCAGGCTCAGTCGGTTAAGCGTCCAATTCTGATCTCCACTCAGGTCTCGATCTCAGGCTCGTGAGTTCAAGCCTCGCATTGGATTCCAGGCTGGGGGTGGAGCCTACTTAAAAAAAAAACAAAAACGGATAAGATGGTACATTTTATCTTATGTGTATTTTCCCACAATTAAATAAGTATCTTTTGACAAATGCACAGCCCACCTGCTCACTCTAGGAATAGCCCTTGGCGTGGGCATTTAAAGTCAGCAATGACTTTCAAAGTGAGATCACCTCATTCTGGATTCACATAGTGCTGATGGTTGCTCAACCTTGTGAACATATTAAAAAACCACTGACTTGTACACTTTAGGAGAAAAACAACAACAACTTTTGCAGGGACCCCGAGGAACAATAAATAAACAGAATAAAAGCTGTTTGTTTCCCCACCATGCAGAATGGATTGCTACCCGTTTTTAGATTTGCTACCCAAGCACCAGACAGAAGTGCTGTGTTCTGTTGACAAGTCACTTGCGTTCTCGAAGATACCCGGCGATTCCTGTTGGCCCTGCTGGTGTTTCTTCCTGGTCTCGGGGGGATTTGTGCAGGGAGCAAACATCGTGAGGAAGGTTCTCTCGGGCGGCAGGGGTCAGAGTGTACGAGACCCTGTAGGCCCTGTGAGCACGCTGGGGTTCCCTCTGTTTGCAGTAGGAAGCTGTTGGAATAGGATGTGATGTGGTTCAGAAGCATCGTGCGGGGAGGGCTGTGAGTGGGCGGGGGTGGACATCAGCAGCAGGTGCAGGAGTTAAAGAAGGATGGTGGCAGGACGCTCCACAGAGATGAGGAGAAGTGGCTGAGATTACAGACGTCATTCCTAAAGAGGGGTGCAGGAAGCAGAGCATTCAGGGGAGACTAGCTGGCGCCCTGGGAATGCACACCCCAGGAGCTGGAGGTCAGGGTACATGGGGTTTCACGAGGGGGCATTGGGGAGCCTTGGGGCCCCGCCACTGGTTGGCATCCAAGAGAGCGATGTTTGTGCGCTCTCATCCTCATTCAGGCTCTGCCGGGATCTGCTACTTACTCTGGGTTTTATTTTCCCGACTACCACTTTTTCCTCTAACAGAAATCTCCCTGCTGACACAGTCATTCAAGCCCACCGTTTCTGGCTGGTTTTCCTGAGTGTGGACACATCACTCGGCACGCCCATCCATTGTGGGAGGCAGATTGGGGCTCTGTATTTTGGGGGATTTTTCTTTTGCTTTAACCACGGTGTAGCATTTACATGATGAGGTGCATAGATCTTAAAAATACTTGGAGAAGCTTTTAATTGGCCAGAGCAGCCGTGCCATGACTTGGTGCGTCCCGGGGGGGTAGTGATCTCCCTTTCACAAGAGGTATTAGCAGTGTGGCCCAGCGGGCTTTTTGTCAGGACAGCCGAGGAAAGGGGATCCCATGTTGGGGTGGGGGGAGTTGGCGGGGGATGTCCATAAACTTTTCAAATGCTTGATGATAGGAAGTGGGGTTCTTTGTAGACATCACCCGCCCCTTTCTGAAATTTCCAAAATTCCCTTTTCCTAAACATCTGCTCTGGAAGGGTTCTTAGAGATGCAACTCAGTCCTATTGCAAAGGGGGGAGCTGGGGGGACACAGCCTAGGATTGGAAAGGCCTGACTGTGTCACCTGGGGCTGGACCCTGGGACAGGGTCCTCACCGACGCACCTGTCTGAAATCAAAAGATGCATTTTTAACCCCTTCCGTTAAGTACCAAAGCATCTGACTCTGGATTCTTGGTGGGGAAGGGCTGTAATGGGGGAGAACGTGGCTTTAGGTGGGGTACCAGCCTGGGGCTGACAAGTCTCTGAGAGCCATGTGGGCAGATGCCGGGACGAATGTCCTGCAGGGAAGGCTGAGCCTAGGGGCTGCCAGGCAGGAAAGAGGTATTCAGGTGTCCTTGAGGAAATGCAGGCAAAACAAAAGAGAACATTTAACTCTGAAATTTTGAGAGTATTTGCTTGCAAATGGATCCGGTACTGAGCTCCCATTTCATTGACTTGGCCATCTTCCCCAAGTCCTGATTTAGTTAAAAGTTGACTAGTAGTAGATACCGCTTACTGAGCATTTAAGGTCTGGCCAGCACTGTGCTAAGCTGTTTCCAGAGGCCGCTTATCCTGAAATGACCACAGGAAGTGGATGCCAGTATTCCCCAGCTTCACAGATGAAGCAGCTCAGGCTTGGACCAAGTGGAGAGCTTGCCCGAGACTTCCCAGCTGGGATGTCAACCCTGGCACCTTGCCCTTTTTCCTTTTCTTTCCCAGATTGGGAGAATTGAGGGCCATGGACGTTGGGGGGCGGGAGGGGGGGGCGTCAGCGGCTGCAGGGCTCAAGCGTCAGCGCACATGTGAAGGTGGGGGGCAGCCGGAGAGACACGAGGTGGGACAGTGGCCACAGCCTTGCTCTTGGGCTGAGGTCCGCTCACCAGGGGCACCCGGGTCCCTTCGGGGACCACCTTCCCCACGCTCCATTCCCTGCGGCTCTGGGCACCCCTGTCTCCTAATCTCTCGTGCTTCTGTGTCCCTTCTAGGCTGATAAGAAGGACCCCCAAGGCAATGGCACGGTGGCTGGGTTTGAGCTCCTGCTTCAGAAGCAACTGAAGGGCAAGCAGATGCAGAAGGAAATGTCAGAATTCATCCGGGAGAGGTGAGGCCCGGGCCCCTCCCAGCTCCTGCGGCTGCGGACAATCCCCCCTTGGCCTCTGAGCCTGAGGTCGGGGAGCGGCCGGGATGAGCACTGGGCCTGGTTAGCACCACGGGGAATGTGAGGCTGGGGGGCTCTGGCTTGTCTTGAGAAGGCCGAAAGTCTGGCAAGAAAGGCTCACAGAACAATGGACCGGAGCCAAGTGGCAGCCACCCCGTAGAGGTAGCATGAGGTCTGGTTTGCCACAGTCTCCATCACTCCCTGCTGTCTTCCCACATAGACTGCTTAGCTCCTTGACTTACCTGCGTGGCGGCCCTCATTGGAAGCCCTGTCCCCGTCATAACAAAAGAGGACAATGTCGCCTTGTAATTCATCTTTGAACCCAAACCGTGTCCCGGCCCTGGTCCCCCCATCCCTGTGTTCAGGGAGCTCGGTGAGATGGAAGAGTCAGGTGAGGTCACTGTGACAGGTGCAGGGGTTATGATAGTGGTTTTGCTGAGGGATGGTTTGTCTGAACGAAAACGAGGAAACCGTACATTCAGCCTGATGGAAACAGGAAAAAGTAGAAGGAGAAGTTCCTTCTCTACCTTCCTGCCTGTCAGTCCCTCCAAGTTCTGAGACCCTCTAAAGCACACACCTACCTGCACACATGTGCACACACACACATACATACAACTTCCACCTGGAGTTTCCAGGGCACGCTGGAAATATTTACAGTAAATGCCAACATATTTAAAAAAATTTTTTTAAGGATAACCATAATGTAGTAATAATTTTTTGGCATTTTAAAGCACCTCCTCTTTTCCTCCGGAGGCCTCTTTTCTATTTGTATAATCAGATCTCTATTTTACGAGCCTTTACGCTGGTAGGGAATGGAGAGGATGCGTAGCTCAGGTGTGCGCTAATAGCCGTATAAAGCAGGTGGATAGGAAAAATGGCCATAGAGTCAGAGTTTGAACACAAGTATGGTGTTGTCCCTTCATAAAAATGTCGTGTTAGCAGATAAACGGGATCTGCCACCTGAGAGCACACTGGCCTTCTGTGGGCAATGCAGACTTTTCTCGGCAGGTCTTTCTGAGCCGGGAGAGGCGAGAGCGGAGGTGGAGCGTGCTGGGGCTGGGGTGTTCGCCGGGGCCCCTGTGTAGGGCAGCTGGGCAGGGCTCGGAGGGGATGCCGGTGCTCTCTCCAGAGACAGGCCGGCCATGTGCCTGGCGTGTGCATCGAGGAGCTTTGGAGGTGTGAAGCTAGGAGCACTTGGACCTGCTTTCGAGAGAGACGTGTTGGCCGCGGGCTGGGGGCTGCACACCGGCCGCCCACGTCACCCTGGGGAGGGCAGAGCAATGGCAAGGGGGTGACAGAGGGACCCGGCCAGAGGTGGCGGTGAGGGCAGACCCGTGAGAGAGGGAACGTGGCCGTGGGTCTCTCAGGGCAAAGCAGAAGATAAATCTTACTCAGAATGATGCCAGGGGGCTCCGTCGGGCCCCCCCCGTTCCATATCACTGCACCCGTGGGCCATCAGCTTTCCAGCGGCCGGGAACAGATGCTGCAGGTCCCGGAGTGCCTCGGGGGCCTTCCCGTTTGCCGAGTGATGGGCCCGGGGCTTCGAAGTGGTGGCCTTGGGTGTCCCAGCACGCCCCAGAGGACCAGTCAGGCGGTGAGCGTTGCCTTTGACAACACTGGAACAAGATGTGCCAGATAATACAGAACACTCCTCCAGAGGGTTGCCTGGAAAGTGTGTCAAGGGCCCGCCTGCTGGAAGCAAAATCCAAGGCCACTTCCCTCTCTAGGGAAATGGAATCAGCCCCAGCTCTGGGCACTGCCTGGTTTCCATGGAAATACTTGTCCCTGCTGGCTTGACAGTTGGAGGCATGGGGAGAGGGGAGGGAGGCTGGGAGCCTGCAGGTGTTTTTCCTGCTTCCCAGGGGCTGTCACCACGTCGGAGGGTCTAGGCCCTGAGTGCTGGGGCCGGAAGGGAGGCAGCCCCGGGTGTGCCGGTGGTCCATCATGAGTTACGTCTTGATCTAAAGGCCTCCCGTGTGTCCAGCCCTGGGCTAGGAGCCGTGTGAATGAGAGCACTTCTTCCCGGCCCTGGAGACCGGTGGAAATACCCCTTTACAGGTGAACAGACAGAGATTCACATAAGTCCGTCCAGCCAGCGAAGGTTTTTTAAGCACCTGCTGTGTGTTGGGTGTATAGGCAAGGGCCTTGACCTCTCAGAGCGTGTGGTCTAGTGGGTTCCTTTTCCGCGGTCAGTAAGCACTAGGACTGCAGGTCAGACCCACGGCCTGGCGCTGGAGAGCTGACGTGTGGGGTTTTCTCCCTTTGCAGGATAAAGATCGAAGAGGAATACGCGAAAAACCTAGCTAAGCTCTCTCAGAACTCCTTGGCTGCTCAGGAGGAAGGGTGAGTGTGGAGGACGGTGACGGAAATGGGGAGAAACCACAGACAGGAAAGGGGGGGGTTCCTCCTCACCGATCCCTGATCGCTGCCATGGTCCACTGAAATGGGGAAGTTCTGCATAGGCCTGGCTCCAAGTGGGCAATTCCACATTATTTTCTGTCTAGTGACCAAGGGCCTACCACCCCCTCTGCCCTGTGCCCTGGTAGCTAGACACTGGCCCCCAGACACTCACCCAGTGCCCCTCTCTCTGGGAGCAGTCTGGTGAGGCACTGGGTGGGAGAGGATTCTGGACCCAGGCCCTTGTTTAGAATCCTCTCCCATGGGCCCGAAGCCCAGGCTCCCCTCCCTGTCCAGCTGCAGAGGCCCAGACCACCTTGGGTGGAGCCTGGGCTGGGGGAGGCTCAGCACCACCCTCTCAACCACAGAGGGGTCCCTAGTGGTGGAAGACTTAAGGCTTCTCTGCTCATCTCTTGGCAAAGACTTGTAGCCTGCTGTGGGAATGGAAAATGGAAAATAATTTGGCAGTGCCTCGGAATGCTAACCAGGATTACCGAACGACCCAGCAATTCCGCTCATAGGTTTAGACCCAGAAGAATTGAAAACAGATACTCAGACAAATAAATGTGCCCACATGTTCATAACAGCACGATCCATGATATCCAAAACATGCAAACGACCCAAATGTCCATCAAGGGACGGATGGATGAACAAATTGCATCCATCTGCACTGGATATATGGATATGTGATGGAATATTATTTCGCCATAAGAAGGAATCCGGTCCTGATCCGGGCTACCATGTGGATGAACCTCAGAAATATTATCCTAAGTGAAAAAAGTGGGATGAAAAGATTGCACTTGATAGGATTCCATTTATATGAAATGTGCAGATAGGCAAACCCACGGAGGCAGAATGAGGTGGGCGGTTGGCCAGGGGAGCGGGCAATGGAGGGTAACAGCTTCATGGGTTTGGGGTTTCCTTTTTGGAGTGCGTATTCATCTGCTTGGGTTGCTGTAACAGAATCCCATAGACTGGGCGGCTTCAACAACACGAATACAATTTATCCTGGTTCTGGAGGCTGGGAGGTCCAAGATCACAGTGCCGGCGGGGTTGGGGTCTGGCAAGAGCGCTCCTCTTGATTTGTAGGTGGCCGCCTTCTCCCTACGGTCTTCCCTCGGTGTGGAGAGAGAGCAGACTCTCTGGAGTCTCTTCTTATAAGGACATGAATCCTACTGGATCAGGGCCTCACCCCGTTTGACTACATTTGACCTTAATTATTTCCTTAGAGGCCCCATCTCCAAATAACAGCCACACTGGGGTGGGAGGCTTAGGGCTTCAACATGTAACTTTGGGGGGGACACAACCATATGAATTTGGGGTGGGGGGCTTAGGGCTTCCACATGCGAATTTGGGAAGGACACATCATATGAATTTGGGGTGGGGGCTTAGGGCTTCAACATGAATTTGGGGGGCCCCACTGGGGTGCGGGGCTTAGGGCTTCCAGATATGAATTTGGGGGGGTCCATAACGGGAATACAAATGTTTTGGACCAGGACAGAGGTGGTGGTTGCACAATATGGTGAATGTACTTAAACGCCGTGGGATCGTCCTCTTTAAAACAGTTAATTTTACATAACCTGAATTTTGCCTCCCATCATGAAGACAACCAGACTCGGGAGGGGAGAGTTGAAAGGTCCCCCGAGGTCTTTTCCCCAGTGCCTCCCTCCCTCCGGGGCAGGCCGTGTTGGAACCCCTCCTGCAAGGGGAAATGAGCCCCGAGGACGGTGGACGTCCTGTCGTGGGTGCTTGTGGTCGTCGGACGGCGGCGATGTTAAGTCCAAATCCCCCCGCGCGGCTTGAAGCCTTCAGGGGACGGGCCATGCCAGCGCAGGGTGGCTTTGATTCAGGCCTCTCTGCGTGGGCTCGCCGTGCAGCCAAGAGGCCCTCTGTGGTTTGCCACTGACCCGGTGGCCCCTTTCTGCCCTGCACACTAGGCCCCAAGACAGGGGTAGGAAGTGGGGGACACGGCTGGGGGAGGTCACCCCTCTGCCCCGGCATGGAGGCTTTCCTGGATATCCCCCTGCCCTGCAAACGCAGTGCTGCTCTCGGGTCTTCCGGCTTCCACCTCCTCGGCCTGGGCTCCTGCCAGGGACACTGCATCCTGCCAAGAGGCTCAGCATATGCTCCCAGCTGCACGAGCCAGGCCTGCGCCACATGCCATATACACACATGCACTTACAAAACCCGGGCAGCCCAGCACACGGTCGCCTCGCGTGCATGGACGCTGTGCCCCTGCGACACGGTCGTGAACGCGCACCCCGTCGCGGTTGCATGCGCACACTCCTCCCAGCAGGCTCCCTTGGGGTGTGTGAACACGTGGGGTGCCCCCCCCGACATGCAGCAGTGCTGTTCTGCATTTGCACACAGCTTTGGACCTTAGCGGGGTGCACCTTGCAGTTTTCAAGCGCAGTGCCAGAGCCTGGAACCTTGGGGCAGCCCGGGAAGATGCTGGTGGTGGGGGGCGGGGCATCGGGCGCTGCGGCCAAATTCCATTCCGGAGGGTGTGTGCACTGCTTATTTATTCCATCTTCCGTTTCTCTCGCCTGTGTGGAAAGGAAATGGGATTTGGGCCCTTTTGGGCCCTTTTTTCGTTGGTAACGGTGACGTGGTGTGCGTTTCGATTTGGCATGCCTCAGACTGCGTATTGCGACGGAAATGTATCTCAGGTTTTATTTCTTTCATTAACCTCTCGCCAGATGAAAAAAATCTGTCTTCAAGTGAGAGAATTTCTTTTTTTTTTTTTTTTTAAAGATTTTATTTATTTATTTGAGAGCGAGAGAATGAGAGAGAGAGCACATGAGAGGGGGGAGGGTCAGAGGGAGAAGCAGACTCCCCGCCGAGCAGGGAGCCCGATGCGGGACTCGATCCCG